ACTCGAACCAAACTTGAACATGATTGAAGTTCGGTTCAGAGTTTGATTTGAAGTTTACGAACATGTTCGGGTTTGGCATATGTATTATCTAATCCACATTTCAAGTTCAATAGATACAGGCCATTTTTCTGGATTTGAGTCCATACATTGCTTTGCAAATTCAACATAATAGTTGGGTGTTTCAGATGCACATTCAGGATGCAATCTATTGCAAATCTTTATATCAAGTTTTGTATCGAATTTGTCTCTTTCAAAAGGTCTTTGACTAGTTGACATTTCTGCTATGATGATTCCAAAGCTATAAATATCGGCAGCTTGTGTAAGCTTTTAACCCAATAAAACTTCTGGTGCTACATAAAGCATAACACCACCTGAACTGTTTTTGTTAGATTTTTTAGACAATTCTAGATCTGAGATATAAGATCGCATATTTTTACTAATGCCTTCATTTTGTAAAATATTACCATTGTGAAAGTCTGTATGAACATATCCCACACTATGAATCCTCTATAAATTATAAAAAATATCTTTAAGTAGCTTTAATTTATTTTGCCAGATAAGAACACAAAATTTTTTCTTAAAAACCTACGAAGACATCCATTACCAGCATATTAAAATACTATCAAGTATTCATTTTCAATTTTTTAAGTTAATCCATATATTTTAAGTTGACTATCCTATAAGCCACACATTATATGATTCTCAAACTTTATAATTAAGTAAATAAAATAAAATATAAATTAATTCATTATTTATTTAATAAATTATTGAATAAATAGATTTAACTTACTTCTTTTAAAGAACTAGGCAAAGTCTTGAGTGCAACGAAGCTGGATACTTTACGTGATCTTTTATATGAATAGTTGTTATCATTGATTTTTCACATACCATCCAACCAGGTTGCTAAATATAGAGCTGAATCCTCCTCTGCCAATTTCTTTAATATTAGATATTCTATCAAATGAAATCCATTCGATTACATTTTCATATTTCCAAGTTCTAAGTTAGAACTTTTTTATACAATCATCAATATCTTTATTTCTACTTGTCCACCTTGTTGTTTCTAAGCCAGAGTCGCATGATAAACACCATGCTTTATATGTATTATCTTCATTACAATACATGCATTTTCTATATTTGGAGTTACTATATAATCACAATATATTACATAATAATAGTAATGGTAAATAAGCATTTATGCTCTTGATTTGTGAACTTGCTTTGTTTTTAATTCCAATTATTAATAAATATTCTTTATACTCACGACTAAATTAATGCAAATGAAATGATTTTCAGGTATTACATAATAGTAATGGTAACTAAGTATTTATGATCTTGGTTTGTGAACTTGCTTTGCAGTTTTAATTCCAATGTTTAATAATGTTCTTTATACTCATACATTAAATGAATAATTAATGCGAATGAAATAATTTGAAGAGCATTATATAATAGTAATAGTAAATAAGTATTTATGACCTTGATTTGTGAACTTGCTTTGCTGTTTTTAATTTTAATGATTAATAAATGTTCTTTATACTCACAAGCTAAATGAATGATTAATGCGAATGAATGATTTTTGGGTATTACATAATATAGTCGTGCTCCTATATAATCACCTCCTCTATAATCACATCATATAAAAACCTCTCTATATATCACGTTTTTATTTAAAATAATTTAATATTAAATATATAAAAAATACCTTTATAAAAGCACAACCTCTTTATAAGAACATTTTTAAAAAAGTTCTTAAGTCAAAAAATGTGTGATTATATGGGAGCACTACTGTATTAGACAATCTGAATCTATATATTTAAATTTATTTATATTATAATTTATTTTAAACAGACGTAATTGCAGTCAGCCTCTCTAAATGCAATGTGACGGAACTATATAAAAATTTGGTCAACGTGCATTTAGAAAGGTATTGCATTTAGGGAGGTAAAAATCTATAGATTTAATATTAGTTGGGTTCAAGAAAAGACGTGCATTTAGGGAGGTGTCTCATAGGACGTGCACTTAGGGAGGTAGCATTTAGGGTCTTACTGTATTTAAAATATTTTTTTACTATTTTATTTTTGTTTATTTTTCAAAGTTAATACTTTGAATACAATTAAAAGGTATTTATACTGTATATAGAGAATTACTATTTGTACCTGGTGGGTATAATACCCAGTATAAGAAAAAAACAAAAATCTTTAATATCTCAAAATTTTACTAAGGTAACCATATCTGATATGTAGATATTTTAAATAAAATTGTTTAGTATCTAATTTTGCATATAACTACATATTTCTAAATCTAACTTTAATCTTAATATATATAGTGCTTTATATAAATATTATATCAGGTATTATATCCAGGATTGGTCAAATCACTGGTCAACCAAAAATTCATTAGTCAAACTGGTCTGGTCGAATTGGTCAAATGGTCTGGTTAAATTGGTCAAATGGTTTAACCAATCAAATTAAAGATTTTAATTATATAAATTTTTTATTAAAATTTAACTAATTTGATCAATTTAACTAATTTAACTAAGATCAAACTAATCAAATTAGTCAAGTTTAATATGTTTAGTTTATATAATTAATATTATATTGATATATTTATTTTGATTAACTAAACAATTTTAATTAATATAAATTTTTTAACCAGACTGATCAAATTAGTTTAATTAAGCTTAACTATTTAACTAGTTATATCATCCTTCTGAATTTAATTTTATAAATTTTTATAAAGTAGTTTTATAAAAGCTTCATAAACAAAAAACAGCAATTAGTTAATAAAATAAAATTGTATAGTTTAAGTTTAATTTTATGATTTTTTTTATATTTAAAACTTAGTAATTATACAACATTATACAAATAATTAGATTAAATTTTATAAAATATTATCATTTAATTTTTAACTTAAATTGATATGTAATAGAAGCTTACTAATTTTCTTACTAGTTATTATTTGATATATAAAAATTCTATTTTTTATTAGGTAAAACATATTTTATTAGAATTAAATAAGGATATATATATTAAAATAATAAAGCATATCATTAGAAGTTTTCTAATTTCTCTGCAAGTTTTGATTAGATATTAAAAATTACAAGACTTAACATAATACAAATTTTAAAAAAATATATTATTAGAGGTGTTTTAATTTCTTTGCAAGTTCTGATTAGATATTGTTCAGATTAAAAATTGTAAAACCTGGTATAAGACAAATTTTGTAAAAATAAAAATCAATAATATCTTAAAATTTTGCTTCTAATAAAAAAAGTTTTGTAAAATTTTAGAATAATACATGTTATATTTGCTTTCAATACTAACTATAGTGATATTTTTATTACTTTAATATATGATTTGTTTTGATTTCAAATCAAAGTTTGATAGAATAAGATTTTTGTATATCAAATAAAAACTGAAAAATTTAGTAAATATGTTGTTAGAGCAGTACAGAATATATATTCTATTAAACTTTTTCAAAGCAAATTTTTTTTTATTTGATTTGTAGACAAGAAGTAGTATAGCTTGCTTTATTCAATTAGTAATGGCTCTTGCATATAACTGATCAGAACCAGAGATAATATTATAATTAGGAAGAGACTTTTTATCAGCTAAAAAAATTTAGCTTAGGATCATAAGCATTAAAATAAGAAACCAATTGTTTACTAATATATACAAAGCATCAAAAAGCACTAATGTTATAAATGATAAAATAAATATCTTATTATTATATTTTAACAAGTATACCCAGTACACTATTAACCTCCCAAAATATCCCTAGTTCCAATACAACTCAAAGAAATACTTCATAAATACCCTTTCTAAAACCAACTTCCAAAAAACTAAAAGACTGACTAAAGAACTAAATATAAATTTCTCTATATATATCTACTAATAGTCTCTAAATAAGCTATATACTATTTATATATCTGTAGTATAACAATATAAAGTCTAATTAAAGTATGCTTTACAACTATAAACTTTGCATAGACTATTATAAAATTATACAAATAAAAAGTTTAATTATTACAATGTTATATTTTGTTGTGCAATAATCTGTTATAATTTGGACAATTTGGACAAAAAGAAACTAATTACAAATAAGAACCAAAATGAAACAACTACAGATAAAGGTCCAATATTTAAATTTTATTACAAATAAGGGCTCAAATATACCATCAAAATTGCTAGCAGATTTAAACGTAATAGTGTCATGATTAATTGCCTCATTCCTCATTTTGTGATTAAATGTGTTTTAGATTATAGCTCATTATTCAGAATTAAAAAAAAAAACAATCAACTGATATTTGAAATTCTGCAATGTAAAATAAAAAATTAACTTTGTGTGACCTAATAGTTTTACATCTCCAAGCTACTATGTATATGTCTCTGTCCCACTTTAGAATGAACACAATTTATAATATCATGAGATTGAAATACTGCTATATCTTTAACTAATAGTGCAGTAAACTTCACAAAGTATGATCCACACGATTTGAATGCTTCCATAAAAATTAAACAAGTTAGATTATGAGGAATTAGCTTTACTATATTAATATAGTATCATTGTGCTCGTTAGCTGAAATATTAATAGTGCATAAACTGATTTTATTTTGTAAAACAAATAGTTAACAGCTTATTTTGTTTGTTTATTCTGAATTTATAAAAATAAAATTCAACAGAATAATTGTTTAAGGCCGAATGAACATTCTCATATTAGTAAAAGTTATACTGATCTGTAATTTTATATAACATAATGTCTGTTATAAGTATTATTATTACTATGATTATAGAGATCCCTATACAATTTATTTAATTTTATTTAAACCCTTTCACAATGTCCAATAGAAATTCACAATAAATTTATATAATCAGATTTATATTTTCGTCAATACTATCCTTATAAATTTATTTATTTTTTATTTTTATTTATTTTCTTTTTTATTTTTTTTTTCTTTTTGTTTAAAATTTAATCTTTAATTATTTATATTCAATACCTACCTATTGCGTTGCTTCGACATTTTCAATATCTTGTTTAAAAGTATAAACAAATAATAGTTGGGTTAAGATATGCGAAAAAAGATATTGTAATTCGATTTTTGATTTTTCATGATCAGCTGGATGGCAATTAAGTCTGTTAATAGTAACCAAAGTGTCTATGCTTATTTCTTCAGGTTCTTTATTTTCTTCAAGCTCATTGTTTTCATTTTTATCTATTTTAGTCCATTCTTTAATGATTGATTTATCATTAGTTAAGTCTTCGTCTGTAATATTATCACTATTATTTGCATTAGTATTATTTTTCTTACTATCAATATCTTCGATTATGTTTTTACTATTATTTTCATTATCATCAAGCATTGAAGTATGTACAATGTTGCTAAGGTTTATTGTGCCAGATTCTGATTGTTCATAAGATGATGTTTGTATATTATAATTAACTAAATCTATAATTTGATTCCTAATGACTACATTTTGAATTCTTTCAATTTTTTCTTGACGTTCTTCTTATGCCATTTTTGCTACAATCTGTGCTATTTAAAAAACCGAGTTTATCTGCAAAATAAAATGCAACTATATAAACTATACCAATTTCAAATACAAGTTACTCTATTAATAACAACCTTGTTAATATCAACCTGAGTTACAAAACAAATTTTTATAAATTTTTATATATCAAAATTCCCTTATATATATCAACTTTAATATGACCTCTTATTAATATCACTATCAACATGATTTAAACCAATTCAAATAGGTTAATATTAATGAGAATAACCTGTAGTATCATATCTGATATTAAAATAGCAGATGCTAACAATTGAATCTATTTTAACAAGATTTTTGAGTTTGTTTTATTTTTTTTTTTAGATGTTTTTGTTTTAGCTATGACAATTACTGTATCTTATTATAGGTCATAAATAAGGTTACAAATATTAAAATATCAAATAACATATCACTACACAAAATTTTTATATGCATTGCTTTTTATAAGTGATTACCACATTTTGGACCTATAGGATACAGCAATAATTTATAGAAATGATTTTATTAATAATTCAATCTTACTTTAAGGTGACTTTGTCGAGAGTTATGAAACCACCCCATGTAAGAAAAGAGTTATTTACATGAAGCTGAATTAACCTTAATGCTGTACAATCTAAGTGCAACCTTGCTAATTTTTTTTAGATTAAGTGCAGCGAACTCCTAGTATCGCAGTAGTGCAAGCCTAATTACGTTATTTGTTACTTTACTTTGTATATTATATT